TATATATACGCATCTGGATAACGAACACATTTTTACTTACGAGCATGTAAAAATGTGTTCGTTATCCAGATGCGTATATATATAGAGGCAATCTGAGGCTAGCTTGGAAGTACTGAGGAAGGAGGTATACGATTTGAAGGCAGAAATAGCGAAGCTGAAGGTCATCACCGACGGGGTCTTGGCAAGGAGCAGAAGACTCGTGTTGCAAAACTGCGCAGAACCGGTGGTGAATGGTGTGAAGGTTAGAAGAGAAATGAAACACAGACACGTAATGAAAGCCTTTAGACTGATAGGGTTGCCACCAGATACGAATATAGTAAATGTCGCAGGATTGGACTTTTGAAGGGTCCCAAGGAGCCCTATCCGTGTCCACTGTTGATGGTGTTCTATGGCACTCATAGTATAGACTGCTTCTGGGAAGGGCTGCGAGATTGGAAATAAGCACGAGGGGCCAGTCAAGTCAAGAAAAGGTTTATGCACCCAAAAGGTGAATTTTCAGCAGTATACGAGTTTTACTTGATAATCACACCATATTCTTCTTTCAGTGCTAGTAATGCCAAATTAAAACAGGAGTATACAGCAATCGATCCAAAACTGAGGTAACCGGCTATACGTCTCTTCAAAAAAGGTAACGAGCCCCCCAGTAAATCCACACCGAAGGCAAAACCTGCTGCCGGTAAAGATGGGACGGTAGAGTTCAAGGTCATAACTAGTGTGAATAGTACACTAGCCATAAGAGCTTCCGCAAGAGTGGTGCAAGAAAAGCAACAAAACATGGTAACGAGGGACAAGGTTTGAGCACATCGTGCATCAACAAACCCAAGTGATCAAAGCTGCAGCAGTAATGAGCAGGAGGACCGGGTAAGCTGGACATCCGTTGTGGCTCGCATGCCACCTGCGAAAAATGTGAGCTACAGGAATCCGACCCCATCTGGTGAGACTAGAAAGCTAATCAGAGGGGATAGGTCGTCACTCCTTTAAGAATATCTCCATGACCAAAAGCGGTATCTCATGGCAGGTCCAGGAACCCATAAGATAAGAAAATGGCAAAGCAAAAGACGTCGTGTACTCCGCCCGAGGGTCCGAGAAGTAAAGGTTTCAAGGAACCTTTAATGCACGTCAATGTCGCTGATGTGTGCTGCACAAATGCCTGCAGTTTAGGAGGTAAATGAAGTAAAATAATGGCGGGAACCCATACAAATGCTGTTATTGGTGTCACTGAGACGTGGTTGAGGAAGGACCAGGCAGTTACTGTCCAAGACATCTACGTCAGGTATAAGCAGGACAGAATAGACGGCAGGCTCGATGGTGGGGTACCCCTACTCATAAGCGCGGAATATTGCCAGTGTAAGGCCCCATTCACCCTAGCCACACAGAATACACACGCCCCGTCCTGCTATATCCGTCTAGGGTGTAGACCGATAGGAGTGCTGTGTTTTTTACAGGGTGCCGCAATCTAATAGGACAGAGGATTATGTATTAGTTGCACTCCTAGGTTTCATTCTGAAGGAAGCATCGCGATTTCTCATAATGGGCGACTTAAATTTTCCAGAAGTAGACTGGGACAACGAAAGCGCACCGAAGGACACCGCTGGTGAAGAACTCTTGTAATGGTTCCACCAACGTGGTCTAACTTCGCACGTCAAGGTGCCCACACGATGCAGAGGTGGCCATCCTCCGTCAACCCAAGACTCAGTTATAACTAGGGATCTAATAGACCTCATTTCACTTGTGACAGAAGAACCGTTGAGAAAGAGTGATCATGGGGTACTACGACTAAAGTTTGTTGCCAGACATGATAAGCCGAATGTTAATCTAGTAGGAAGATACGCCAGGATCAACGAGGAGCAACTACAGGCAGCTGCTGAGAACATGCGTTGGTTTCCTGATTTAATAAAGTGGTCGTAGTAAAGTGTTCAATGAATCTATAGCAGTTATAAAGCTTTCTGGATAATTAACTCAGAAGGCTATTTTCTGCGTTTCCGCTAAATTTAAACAATTTACATATCATTAGGCCAAGCAGACATTACCAGTTCGTATCACGTCAGCCTAAGATCATGGCGCTGCTGTCACATTGTCGGTAAACTGTTTTTTTGGCATCGAAGAGGTGGAAGAGTGTCCACAAAACGTTTATTACAGATTAAGTTATACCCCAAACCACTTGAAATTTTTTCCCCCTTTATTTTAATTTTATTTCACTGAATGACTTCTACGCACTTATAACCCATCTTCACAGGATAAACTGAAGAACGCCAACACACTCCCAACAGAGGGATGTGACGACGTCTCCTAGGGTTTGGTAAAGTAAGACGAACCCTAAATCATACGGGTAACAGGTGCAAATGGTAGCGCTTGCTCGCTGACCAGCCCTGTATACAGGGAGTGAGCCATCTTTATGGCTCACAAGGGAGTTCAGCTACAAACTTTTGTGCTGCCTCTGACTACGACAACAATGAGAAACACCATTGGTAAACAACCATTCTAACCCTGTAAGCAATACCATTGGGCTTTTTACCCCCCCCTACCCCTAGCTAATATACGTAAGCTTACCCAACCGTGGGGTAATCGGGTTCGACGTTGATTCCTGTCCTAATTTTCTTCTTTCAATTCCCTAGTTGTAAATGAGTATGGCCAGGATTCCAGCCATTTAAAATTAAACCTCTATACGTTTTATGCCTTCTTTATTTGATTGCTTGCGATAGCAGAACTCAATATGATCCTCAGATAACTCGTACTTGATGCTTCTCTTTAAACCAGATTTCCACAATGGAGCATTCGGTCGCTTGATTCTGAGGCTTAGGTCATGCCTGGTGCCTTTGATGAAATTTTTTCCATAACCGTTTTTTTGCTAATCCCAGAGGTTAGTCAATAAAACAATTAATTTACGTATATTGTGCAATATTGCTATATACAAACGAGTATGTCTCCCTAGCTGACAGTTGCCATATATTTTAACCCCATGAGACTCGAGTGCATCACTTGATATACGACCATTTCTACTTCACCAAGAGTGCTTTTCTTCCGCAATTTATGATTTTATTCCAATAACTTTTCATATTTTTCATCTTTATTCTTCCCTATACATATCTGCACTTATGTTGTCATTCTACGAAAATCTATCACTCTGAGTTTATTGGTGACTTTGAAGTTGAAAGTGGGTTGCACTACAGTTTGAAATGGAGCGTTAAAACTACAACTTATTCCACCCAACAATTCTCCATTATACTTCGCTTTCACAAACATCGTGACTATGTTCCCAGATCTTGTTGTGTATTATATGAGGCCATTGTTATTGTATCTTACCTGCCATGATCGTGCATAACATGCATGTCTCTCGTTGTGATCCGAGAGGTAAACCATTATTATTATTATTATTATTATTACTTGGGCCATCAGTCGAAGAGTGATGGGTGGCAATACGAGACGGGTTACTAGGGTTAACTTAAAGGTTCCCTCCCTTGGTTCCGCATTGATTCGGAAGCAGACCCCCTTGGTGTTTGCCTAGGATAGGAAGAGCGCTCACGTCCCATAAAAGACGCTGGGCTTTCTACAAATTTCGCAGAAAGCATAGTGCCTGGGTCAACTATAGGTTGGCCAGAAATAAGGCACAGGCAATGCAGCAGGAGCCTAAGTTCCAATATAAAGAACTAGCTAGGAACATCAAATCGAGCCCGAAAAGGGTTCTTTGCGTAAGTGTTCCATGTACAATCCAAGGAAACCACACACGAAGGTGTTAGAACCTTGGAGATGGCAAAGGGTAACATAGCTAGCACGGATGAGGACAGCGCTGAGACGCTGATGGACTATTTCAAAAGTGTCTATCGTCCGTTCCAGGGTAATGGAGTCCGGAACCCTTTGGTGGATACCAATGAACACGAGCTGCAGATGGTACTCTTGAGGGAGGACAAGATGCGGACCAAGCTCAGAAACCTGAGCAAGCATGAGGTGGTGAGTCCTGATGAGATCCACCCAGCTATCGTCCAACCACTAGCTGAGGTCACTGAATTGTTTAAGACATCACTAAACTCCGGGGTAGTGCCTGATGACTGACCGAAGGCAATCGTCGTAGCATTATACGAATCGGGGTCCAGACAAAAGGCGGAAAACTACAGGCCGATCAGCCTAACATCAGTGCTGTACAAATGCCTGAAACGAATAGTCACAAGACAAATATGTATGTGCCTGGTGACTCATAGACTTCTATCTCCTGTACAGAATCGGTTAACCAGAAATAAGTCGGGCTTAACCAACCTACTTATGTTTCTGGACGAAACTACACGCCGTTGAGATCAGGGTAGGGCAGTGGAGATATGCTGCTTAGACTTCAGCAAGGCTTTTGACTCGGTGAGTCTTACGCTGATTGACCAG